ATATATATATATATATATATATATTCATGTTTGTTTAATAGACTAAAATATTTTCTTGTTAAAATTATTTTTTTTAAATAATTAGATTAGGTTTGTGATTATTATTTATTTAAAAATTTGTTTCTCTAAACTAGTTTCTTTTGCTAATTTAATTCTAATATTTTTTTTAATTAATTATTTATTTTTCTCCTAAGTTAATTAAAGTCAAAACAACATCCATGACCTTGTTCATTCATACTTGTACATTATATTCATTTCACTTCTTATACATTATATTTACATTCGTTTCTTTATACATTTGATAAATTCGATATGATTGTAATAGATAATTAGGGTTTTTACTTTCTTGCAAATCCTCATTCATAAATTGTATACCCCCTCCCACAAAGTGTTGTAATAGCGTAGTAATCTTTAAATTTCGCAATTTATCGCTTTTACATAACATGTTAGTAATTAGGGTTTGTATGGCAAGATAAAACCAATCAAATAGAAAACCCTAATCCAAGACAAAATCAAGCATGAAAATAATACACTTGCACACAAGCACCCTTAGGGTTACTCCACTTGGTTGCCTTATACAAAAATGGCCTTATTACGCATGTAAGATATCTTAGCAAAATAAACAAAAACAAGATCATAGTCCCTCGATGACGCTATTCAAAGTTGCCTTACTAAATGATCTTAGTCCCTCAAAAATGCTAAGATACCTTGCAACATTACTAATCATAGTTATACGATGACCCACGTCCGTCCCGCTTACATTCAAAGATAGGGTTGCTTACTAAATAAATGATAAGACAACAATATCAAAGGAAAAGAAAATGAACAAGAAAGAAATTTAAGTAGGTAGATTACTTTTAGTTACTTGCTCCAATTCAAACAAATATCCTTGCTATTTTCTAAACAAACACACACATTTTCAAAACATCTTACAAACATGAAAACATTTTCAAAAAGACAAACATCTTTGTATACATTCTTACGAACGAGAATCGTTACAAAGATTTCCTAAACGATGACCTCTTTAGCAAAATACTTTCAAAACCACGCAAAACACAATTTCAAACAAAAGCAAGTGATCTAGCAAAGTAACTAAGAGCCCATGGAAAACCATGGATGAAAAGGGTGCTAATACCTTCCCTTTTCATAATCTACCCCCCGAACTCAAGAAACAATCTCAAAGGTCTTTCCTGTGCTTTTTCACCTTTCCTTTTTTGGATAAAAGAAAAGTCGGTGGCGACTCTTGCTAACCGCAACATTTGCGATCAAACACAAAACAATCAAGTCAGTTCTCCCACCGTATCACACATATTAGTCACAAATCTTTTATGCTTGTGGAAATAATAAATAAGCAAAAGTATAGAATCAAAAGACGTTTTTTCACTCTAAGCACGCATGGGGCTCAAAGCGGACGGAATGTACCCGGAAATCCTTTTTGCATATGTCTTAATTTAAGCACTTAGAGATAAAACCGAGTTTACAAGCTGCATAGGGCTATAAACAAAGATATTCATAAGGATCCCAAATAAAGATATTGAACTCGCTTGGGCTCCATATCTAACAAGCTTAAAATAATACCTGGTATTCTGTGATCGGACACTTAAGCCTTGCAAAATCGATCCTTAAAGCCCTTATAATTCATGGTATATGCCTGACGGAAGCTTTTGTGAGGAATGCCACTAATCTGAATCTAGCCACATTTCTCGACTTCATTCACCTCAAAGAAAGAAAATAATAGACCTACGGTGGGAGTAATGTTCATCGCCTCACAAACTATCTCAAAAACTTTTATAAAATCCCAATTGTTGGGACAAAGTTGAGAAGGCGCGATATTCACGATCTTCAGTATATCTACCTCAAAATCAGAGAAAGGCAGATGGATCTTGAAATCCTTCAGTACCCCAGTGTAGAAATAGAAAAATCATCTTTAGAACTTTTTGGGCGTAGTATGCACACTCGTTCCCCGGGGACACAAGACTTTGGGATGACGTCGTCCTTATTCCCGGTTGAAGAAACATCTATCAGAGACCGGATTTTGGCTATCTCTTCATCATCAATAGAGTTATTTTTATAGCCCATGTCTTCGATGTCAAATAGGAGAGACGTTTCCATCAAAAAATTTACAGAATATGGGGAGGAAGAATTGGAGTCAAAATCACTTAAAGAGGCGAAGATGTCACCATAAACTTCTCTTGTGATTCGATCAAATTCCTTCTGACCTAAGGCACCTATGACCTCACCCATGCATTGGCCCCACAATTCTTTTTTGTCTTCAACATTTTTTGGTTTTACAATGTTTTCATCATCATCACACTCTCTTATAGTTACCACTCTCTAAAATAAAAAGAGGAAAGAGTAAAATAAAGCGGAAAAAGAGAAGGAGATACCTGAAAGTGATGAGCGCCTTTATCAAATGCAAGCTTCGTTGGGGAGAGACGTTATTGGTGCTAAGATGAAAAAGGAAAGAGGGAAATAAGGTTTAAATAGGAGGCCCAAGGAACAGTGTTGTTGGAAAGCAATAGTCATTAACATCAAATCCTAATAAAAGTCATAATTTCGCTATGAGAGAGAAAAGGGATGTGACTCTTCATTTCTTGACACGTGAACCAAGGAGAGAGTCGAGTTATAATCCTGTTTAAACCTTAATACATCTCGTGCTTTCCTTGACCGAATACTTCATTCTTATCACTGAATTCTTATTTGAGGGACTTATGTACATCCCATAAATATTAACTCTGACCGGGTCATAAAGTCATCAGAACAAAGGGTGAGATATGTAAATCGACTATGTGGACAAAAGGTAACAAGGTCGGGTACTAGCTCTATAGATGGAAGTCGAGTAATCACCCGAGTATTAACTCATCTATAGTATGAAACTGGATAATGTCCATGATCGAAACCCGATAATCTGAAGTCGGGCAGGAGTATAACGGTTATCATGATGATTAATACATACATTATGCTATCTTGAATGCACTCATTCATGGATGGCGGTGGCCGTTACACTCCTTGGCCTGGTACAGAAACTAAGAGTCGCCTCTTAACTAAGACTCTTAAAGGAGCATTAGAAGACTATATAAAGAGGCTCCCGCCAGAGGGATAAGCAAGAAATTCATCTTGGATCAATAAATATCATCATCGTAGCATCCAAATCCCCCAAAATCATACATAAATCAACTCATATTACGACTCTCCTTGTTCCTACAAGAAAGTTACTCGTTTATTATTTTTCGCAAGAACAGAACCAATTTGTTTGTCCATCACCAACAGTCGTATCCAATCAGACGGTCTTTAGCACCTTACGTTGGGTCAACACTACTAGAAAAAGAACCTAATGCGACATGATATCAGCTCAGTCATTAAGCCAACCGAAGCAAAAGTTGTTATTGTTAACCATAATAATATGTTAAGGCATACAGGCTTCGAATCCCAGCACCAGCAGTTTTCCTAATTTTGTTACAAAATGAGCTTGTCACTTATAATATTTATATTAAAACTAAAAAATTTTCACCACGGTCTATAATAGAAACTGTTGTAAAATATACATACATGTTATCGCAGTCGTTTGTATCAACCATGGTGAAACGTATAATATATATTTAAGCGGAAGTTCGCTCATTCAAGACAAAACACCGTAGTCTCTCTCAAAATGAAACCCCAACACTCTCTCGCGCCTCATCCTAACTTTATGAACGGTTGCATACCACTTTTTCACAAAATTCTAACATATTTTCTGCATCTATTATGGATCAAGGAAAGGTGTTACACGAAACTCATTTTTTTCACTTCCTTGTCACATTTCAGGTACGTGAGATGTGGAATAAGCTTGAAATTCTAACATGACATGAGTAATGATATGTTACGCGCTACTGTCATTTTAGCACGGCTAGTCGCCTGTGGTTGTAAAGAGAGCACATACAACCATAAACTATCTTACCATGGACCGCCATCCGCAGTAGAATCTTTCTCTCAACCGTGATAAGATATTTCGTAGTGCAAGCGGGAGCGGTTTAACCACAATTGTATATAAGCTTTGTCATGCCCCATAACAAATACTTTATCCGTTTCAAAATGACTGTCGTTTTAACAAAGAAAATTTATTTTAAAATGACTGTTATTCTCACTTTTCCAATATAGAAATCATTGTAATTTTTCCAATTGTGTCATTTAATTATTACTTTTTGCACTTCTTCTGATACATTAATAAGGTTAGTTTAGTAAAAGTGAAATACTTTATGACAACATTATTACATTTCTTAATTAGTGTGCGAAAACCTTAAACGACGATCATTTTGAACGGAGGGAGTATCATTTTATTCACTCTTGCAAAGTTACACCCCACTTATTTCACTAACTTAAAGATTAGAGTGTTAACCTTGCAAACACACCGACGCTCCACCGTACAAGAGACTTGTTCCACCACTCCAAAAAACTCTTCACCTTTACATCATCAATCTCACGTTCCACAATCTCACATTCCACACCAGAAATCTATAACGGCTGAACTATCACTCTCAGTTGTGTCTATAGTTGTTCAACTTTCTGATATACTCACATAATCCATAACAAGCCAGTGCTGTAATTTCTTAATTGGAAAATTTGATGTGTTGAAGCTTTGAAGGGCTCACTTATAAGGCTGTTAAGGGAAGGGTATTGACGTGGTTTGATGGGGTAGTGTCACAATGATGTAAGTGAATGTTTTTTTAACAATTCTTACATCCTACCTTTATAACAAGGAACGTTTTTAGTGTATAAAAGAACAATCATACATACATTTGATCTTAAAATATGAAAAAAATACACATAAATTTAAGTGGGCAAAGCTGTGTTAGTAGATAGTTCACACTTAACAAATTATTTTCAACTCCTTTGTGCATATAGCATACATGATAGAAAGATAATGCAGAATGTATATATTAAAGACTTAACAAACTCTACAAAAACATCATTCTAAACAAATAAATTGGAATTCTTTGTCTCTTAACCAATTTTATACAAAACTAGATACGAGGTAACATCCATCCAACAGTCCATCCTAAAAGTAATCCAGCTCCAACAAGACTCAATCCTAAAGCAAATGCAACATCATATGTTGTTGATACATCATTCTTCAACTTGCCTAGTTTTCCATCTTTGTCATCAACAATCATTCCCTTTCTCATGAATGGTTTCTTACGAAGAGCGTCGAGAGTAGAAACTGATGTATGCTTATTGTTTAGCCCTTCCAAATGTAACAGTCTACACCATTGCTTGTATGCAAAAAGATGTGAGGCTTGTACGAAAAAGAGTGCAATAATATGCTCTTTCTCAGCATAAGCCTGTTTCGCTAACTCCTCGGCTTCCCTCGCGCGTGTTTGCGAATAACGCAATGCTTCCATCAATTGAGCTTTGCTTTGGTCTCCCTCAAAAGGTTCATCTGTGTCACTCTCATGAATAGCAGTATAACTGCAACAAAATTGCGTATAACATGAAAGATAATCTTATAATCACTTAGTAATTAAGGCACCATAAATGAAAATACCTTGAGGATTTGTCAAAAGAAATATAGAAATGGCATGGATTGGGTGAAGGTTCCAAATTGGAAAAGACAGTGGATTTAGCACATGGTTGTCGAGGAGGAGGTGGAAGATCACAATTCTCAACATAATTGAGGAATTTCTGAGAAACCAAGTACGCTAATTCATCTATATCTCTAGTTTTCCACCATGGTTGGACACATGAAGATTTACGAGAAGCGAATTTGGAAGCATAGTCTGTTGATGCCATCAATCACATACCTGTTATTCTTCTTCTCATAACATGAAATCTGTCAAGAACATAGATGGACAAGATCAAACAAAAAACGGTTACATGGTTTTGGATTTTGTTAAACATGTATCAATGCGATGAGTGACTCACCAGAGAAGTGAAACATGGCGATTGAATGGAAGATGATGACGATGATTAAGAAAAGAAGAAGAGGGTGGTGGTGGTTATAATCTAGTAACGTTGTTTTTTAGTTATCATTTCTATGTTGTCGGTTTTCTGAAGCAGTATAACCCAAGTGGTGTTACGGTGTTGTTTCTTTCTTTATAAAGTTTTTCTTATTCATCACACGTGGCATTTTTAGTCCATTTTTTGTATAGTGATTGAGATTCATCTAAAATCTGAAATGATAGAGCTATGTTATTGTAAATACAATGTGTCAATATTGAATTATTTTTGTGTGAATTGCATTTCATTCATATGTTTCGCTATAGTCTGTGTGCTTGCCTAGCCCATGGTTTTGTTGTGGTTGTTGTAGTTGATTGTCAAGTCACAATTATTAAAATGGTGCGTGTAATAAAGTTATGGAACTTAATTACTAGTATCAAAGTTTGTTTCATATTTTGGTCGGTGACAGGAGGAAGAAAAAGACTATATTCAAGGCTATATAGCAATAAAATGACTATATAGACATACAGGGTGCATGTTCAAAATCACAACATTTCATTTAATCATCTTTAAAAAAAAAATTATTCATTAAATTACTACAAAAAAATAAATAAATTACAGTCTTGTTTGTAAAAAGAAAATGAAAAACATAAATTGTATCAGATGATTTTGGATTTGAGTTCTGCTAGGATCTTTGAATGGAAATAAATATAAATGTATGTATATGTTGTATAAATTAGATGGAAGCACCATCCTTTCACCCTAAACTTATTGTTGTATAGAAGAATATTCAAGGTTAGTTGATGAATCTATGAGCTATTTATAATCCTATAAATAAATTCTTATTTGAAAATATGAAATAGGATAATTCATAAATTTTCCCATTTCCAAGTTCTAAATTTTTCTGTAAATCCTTTTTTGATGTAGGTTCTTAAATGAATCTTACCATAGATATGCAAATTGGAATGTTTAGCACCTTATTTCAGTTCTTGGAAAAAGAATACTGACTGGTAAGCGTTTAGCTACCAAAAGTTAAAAGAGGATTAAAAATCAATGAAAGAACTTCAGAGACCAAAGACAAAACTTCAATATACATAAAATATTACAAGACTAATTCTTCTCAAAATTTGCCAGGCTTGAGGTGTTCATAACATAAAATATAAATATTGGCCTATGATTGAACTTATACTATACAGAAAGAATGAATGAGTAGACCTAAAATGAACCCATGTATTCAAGGCAATAAGGTTCATAACCATCACATGTTCATCTCCAACATGAAATGCTTTCCCAAGTTAAGGATTATTTGCTGTCCAACATGAAGTTGTGTTTTGCCTCTTGTAATTAAGATCGAAGAAAACCACTTTCAATGCGGAATTCCGGGCACTAGAGATTAAGATCAATAATAAACCATCTCAAGAGTATCATTACTCATCTCCGAAACCACGCAGATGACTTTTCAACTGTACAAGCTTTACATTTCCATCCCCACCACATGTTAGAAACCCATGCGGAACAACTTGAATGTCTGTAACAGCAGCCTGCCGCAATTTAAGCCAACAATATTAGTGTTAAAATTTTGTCTCTGATGCACTATCTATTTTAAAACTGTTGGAAACATTTACCCGAACAACGCCACCAAATCCACGAGAGCCTGACTGGAGAAAAGTGTGTTTTTCATGTATCTTAGGCCAGTGATGTATTAACTTTGTGCTCTGGGCATCCCAGAGCTTGACGTCTCCATCAGCGCTTCCGGTCAAAAACAAGCTCGTATTTGGGATGGTAGCTATTTTTGAGACACTCCCTAAGAACATAAAAATTATGCAGATCATGATTAGATAAGAAATAAACCATAACTACCAATGCAGATAAACTTTCTTTTCTTTACCTGAGTGTGCCTTTGGAATATACCAAAGCATCCCATCTACATTATGGTCCTTGTCATAATTCAAAGACGTGAGAGAGTTTCGCCCAATGCTATCAGAACGTTTAGTTCTTTTAGCCTTTCCGGTAGCTATATAGCGGAAGTCGTGAAGTCCAATATCACCGCTTTTACCACCAGTCACAATAAGAGGGGAAACCGAACCACTTCCTAGTTGATTGTCAAATACAGAAAGGGAGCGCGCACCACCTTCACAAGACAGGCAAAATTTAGTACATAAAAAAGGCAAGCCAATTTTTCTAAATAAAACTGGACACAAATCTTTCTTTTAAACTAAAACAATAAATAAACCTTCATGACATAAAATGGAAGCTCGAGAAGTTGAAGGTGGAGCTAAAGTATCCCATATAACCACATTGACAGCAGTAGAGCTATATCCTGCCACGGCTATTATTGATCCACTAGAGGAAATGTACGTGACGTCGCTGAAATCAAACATAAAATAGATTTTCAATTACACGAGTAAATTAAAAGAAATAACAACTTTAGTAATGAAAAAATAATAATTAAAGTTAACAAAACAAAGTAAATACGCTCGTAAAAATCCATCCTAAACATGATTCAAATGGTTAATATAATCAACTAGAAAAATAACATTTTAAAAATTTAATATCAATTTTCACAGTGCAAAGCAGAGTGAAAAATAATGTTTTAGAAGCTAATTGTAATTTTCATGATGCTTATATTTTGAATCAAATGTTAACAACCAAACACAACTAAAATGAAGGGTGACTAAAATCATAACTCAGTTTTAAAAAACAAAGTATACATACGATGCTTGGCCATTAAAGCAGAGGGATGATTCTGTTGGACGAACGTTGCTCCTTCCTCCTACCTCTAGCTGCCATGTGCAGACAGTTCCATCTAATGCAGCACTGGCAAAACGATGCCCAAAGTGGTCAAATTGTAAAGCTGAAATTGACGCAAGAGCATAAGGTGGAGGGACATTAGCAGCAGGTAGCACCCCATATGTAGCAGTAGCTTTGTCCTTATTGAACTGTACATTATAAGGCTCTTCATTAGCCATAAGCTTGAAATATCGACAATTAATGCAATTAATCAACTCACTAGAGTAATCTAGATATTAGTAATCTCTACAATTGTGTCTATATCTACATTAACAGCTATCATCAGGAATGTACAGAAACTAAAGATTTTCTAACCTCCCACAAGTAAATGTGTGTATTGCTTGAACCAACTAAGAAGAAAGGCCTCATTGGATGACTAGAAAACGCCCGGGTACTTGTATTCTCCAAAGTGGCAGGTGGATCAACAAAATCTTCAAAGTCTTGTTGAGTTTCCCAACCTAATCCAGAGGCGCCAATACCAGCATAACCTAGCATTCCTAATGATCCACCGCCTGTCAAGTCTCTGCTGGGCCAAGCTGAAGAATCCATACCGACAGTTGCTCCACCAAGACCGAGGTGTGCCCCTTTCTTGCTTCCAAGGCCAACACCCGGAGAAACACAAGTAGGAGCAGGGGTGGATTCGGAACCAGCCCATCCGTTTTGTGGCCAATCGGCCTTGGTCCACAAAAGGTCTGCTTCGCCACTAAAAGGAGTCTCATCTTTCATGTGAAAGAATACTATACCCTGAATTAGATAAGAGGAAACATAAACTTTTACACACTTCACTGGATATTCAGATGATGGAATGATAAGATTTTAGTGAGTTTGATTTAATTGAAATTTAACACAACGGTCTAGGAGGAGGAATAAGTATAATCGTAAAGTAGTTATATTTGTAGTTATAAAATTATAATTTCATATTATAATGATACATATAACCATTACAATCTCAAATATGTTGGTCCTTATATGCAAATTATTATATGATCTTTTCTGCATAAAAACGACATGTAAATGGTGTTTAAACAAAAAATCATCCAAAGCTTCAGAGTGGCAGAATGGCAGGAAATTAAGAGGACAACCTTACGATTGCTAGCAACTGCAGCTTCCTGTTGATTGGTAGAGTTTATACACAGTGCCTGCTCAAACATAGCATTAATGTTATTCTTATATTTGCATATATGACGCCATATGAAAAAGATTAGATAGAAGGGATAATAACCACCTCCAAAAGTTCTCCATTTCTCTTGTAAATTTCTCTGGGACTTTGAAAGTCTTCAACATTTGCACGAATTGTTTCTTTCTGGTCGGAACTAGCAGAAGTATGGCTGCTTGGAAACATTCTTTTAACGGGAGATTCTACTTCATGATTAGTAGATGATTTGCCAACTTTGCTTTCATCATTATGTGAATCATCAGTTTTATGCAATCCTGTCATAATTGTATACAAGTCATTCCATTCTTTGATAGGCTTATGGTCCGAATCCTTTGACCAATTGAGTTTCTCCTGTGCAAAGCAGTCACGTATCAATTTGGGATCGGCACAATGATCCCATAATAACTTATGAGCTTGATAGTTATCTTTCCTGTTAACCAATTCCGAAACATCCAGGTTTTCATGTTGATTGGGTTCTGATTGACTTGTTTGTCTTAACCATTCAAGAGTCATAACATCTGAATCATTCTGCACTTTTTGCCACAAAAATTCCGCAAGTTCTTTAACATGATAAGAAGAAATATGAGTAACTGTTGTCGTCAGTAAATCACATAAGCTAAATGTGACTAATAGAATCTGCTCTGGCAAACTGATGCTATCAGAATCCACATTTCTGGGAGTATTAGATTCCCTATAACTGTGGAAAGAACTCGATAAACTTTCATCTTCAAGTTTAGCAAGAACTAAATTCATATTAGATATCATGAATCTCGACATATGCTGCCACAAGCAGGTCCCTAAAATCTTCCATCTTTCATCATCCGGAACCAAACTCTTCATATCTGCCTCTAGTTTATTATTCTCTGTGCATTTGGATACTTGAAGGTTTTCTGTATTAGTTATGAAAGAATTCTGAGACAACAACTGCGCAACTTTTGGGATAAGGTTCTTCAGATTCACCATATCAACCTCATAAGGATTACTGCCATCATGTGCAATCAAGAAAGGTTGCATCATGAATAGAAGGGCTTCTGATTTTCTGCGAAGCCAAGCTAATGAAAAATATAAATAATATTCAATTAAATCAAGGATTTCAAGATGCTTTTTGACAAGATCCTTGCTAATAGACCTCAATTGACTCCTCAAAACAGCTCTTAAATACGACAATGAAATCAGAAGACCTTCAAAGTGACACTGTGTGGCATCCAAAAATTTAGTTCTAATATCAGCCGATGCACCTTTCATAAAAGTTGAACTTTGTTGAGAATATTCCATACCACAGGCAGAAAAAAATCTTGAATACAGAAAGGAGATTTCTTCTGCAGTTTTAAAGAGGGGTTTGAATTGAGAATGAGATAAAATGGAAACATCAAATCTATCACTCTTTTTTTGAGACAGTTCTCCTTGAGTGCTTCCGTCTGTCACATCATACCCAATGTACCATAGTCCATGATGGCAAAGTAAGAGTAAGATCTGCAGATAAAAGGGGAATTGGAAAGATCGTGATCTCTGTAAACAATGGTAACCCACACACACACAAGAGGTTAAACAATTTTTAAAAATGGAATAGGAATGCATACCATGCTGATTAGATAGCACGGAGTCAGCAAAAACCTTTGTTCCAAAAGATCAAACCCGGCATATAGCTTTTGTTTAAAACTATCATTTGATTTCTCGTATTGAATCATGTACTCTTCAGAGTAAGAGCCTTCTCCATCAGATTCTGTAAAAGTGTCGGGCCAACTTGGATGCTCTCTTATCAGTTTTGATAAGTAGCAAAGTGCCAAATTCAATTTAACATGGAACTCCAGATGCACAGATACATCAGCAGATAACCAGTTAGAGGATTTTCTTGGCAAAGGCTTTAATGTACTGGACAGAACATCATCCAACTCATTTGCTTGATCAGCAGTCCCAAGCATGCTCGGAGAAGATGAAAAATACTCCAATGCCTCAAGCTTAAAGCAAGAGAACATTACAAATGATTACTAAGCAGAAACATAGGTAGGTACACATACATATAACGTCATATATATTGACATTGTACTGACATGTGCAATATATCTCGGCGTGCATATAAAACATCAGACATTGAAAAGGAAGTAGTGAATATTTATCTAGAGTGACAACAAAGAAGAAAATTAAGCTTGTTATAGAGTTGTTCAACAATTCTCCGAGAGTTTTACTAAGCACCTAACTAGAAACTTCGAGGGCACGTCAATCAAGTGCATCACAGAATCTTCCTAGGAGCAAGAGGTGGACACAGTTACATGAAAAAGGCCCAAGAAATATGCCGCAAAAAGGAAGACAACAATCTCTTTAAAAATGGGCCATTCTATAAACAAGGTGGTAATACACTAACTTTTTCACTTCCAAAAATAATAACAATAACCACGTCTAAATGTAAAGCTATTGAAGGTACAACACGTATTTCTCGCATATGAAGAAAATAAGTGGGAAAGTACATGGGTTTCATGTCAACCAGCCCAGATAAACACAGCTCAACACACATCCAACAAATAGTTGAAGTTTAAAGATAATAACTTGATTTGGCTAGATATGCCTGTCTATTAAGCTTATGCATTTTTATAAGTACAATTAAAAAATCAAATTATTGTGTAATATGTAAAAGAAACTTACTGGTATACCGCATCTTTTTAGGGCAGTAACTGTCATCAAAGTTGCCCATCTTAAAAGGATGGTTGAATTTTGCTCTCCTACAGCGTTCCGTGTGCTATTCTTTGTTGCAAGCATTTGACAATAAAAACCAACAGTAGGGTCCAAAAAAGAACCAGAATTGGACATAATGATTGACTCTGGATCCCGAATCTTTTCGGAAAACTGTAGCATTCTATGAAAAGATTGATAGTAATTACCCATTTCCCACTGCAAATCAATGAGAACTAGTTACAGTTAGGATCAAGTACAAAAAAAAAGCCATTACAAGCAGTGAATACAACAACGTTTTCATCGATAAATTGAATGAAAGTGTTTTGAGGACCTCCAGAAGGCTAGCCAGCCAGTAGTCTCCTCTATCAGTTGCAGACGGAAATATATACTTAGTAATTAGGTGATGCTCTAATGGTCCACCATGGCCCTCAACAAGGCGACAAATTACTAGTGCAAGTTGTTCGTCCCCAAGGGTCTTGGCACAAACATTTACAGCAGAAGAATGATCGCCTCCAAGCAAAAAGAAGGCAACCGCCAATTCAAGCTGATGCTTTCCTAATAAGACATAAGCATTTTTTAAAGCAGCAGCTTTATTTTTCTCATCCTGCAATCAACAACAACACCAAGCAAGCAAGCCTACTAATTATAATTAATTTAAGACTTTGACACAATAAATGTGATAAACAAATGCATTTATAGAAGGAATTTTAACATTTGCATACTCCATACTTTAAAAAAACAAATCAAAGACAGCTTAACCGATTCAGCCTATTTCAACCAAACTGTGGTACAGCAGGGATCAAACCAACTGGCAAGTTAGCCAATTCCCAGTTAAACTGGTTGAGCCGACCAGTTTGGTCCGGTTTTTAAAACATTGGTCTAATTATGAGTCCTTTGTTGGTTTAATGGAATCATCCAAAAAAAAAAAACATAGTACTTGCGCAGATGTGCAGTCAGACAATTTACCTGAAAATTGCGCAAGAGAAAACCCACTAAAGGTTTGTCCTTCTCATCCCTACTGATTTTAAAAAGGCCAGCTAAAACTTGAATTCTGTTCAATGCAATATACAGCAATGCACAATCCTTAGGATTTTTGTTCTTCAAATACTGTGCTCTTGCTAATTTCTCCATCTAGAGTTAAGAGGAATAATGAAAGTATTTAAGCTGTCTGCATTGGAAAAGAGTAATAAACAACAAAATATTCGGATATATGACGACAATAATCCATAAATGATAATCTCATAAACAAAAGCTATATCAGCAATTTGAAATAAAAATGTTCTTCCACATGCCAAATCTTTTAAGTAATGAGACATCCCTGATTTTCTTGCAACATCATGCAATTAGCAAAACTGATGGCTATAAATTTCAAGATTTTGTTTCAGCTTGTATATAGAACACGGAGAAGAATGCAAAATGGAAAAGGACCAAGCATTACCCTAGCACGCAATTGAGGTATGCTGGAATACCAAAAGCCCATACCCAAAGCACGCATTTCTTGCCACGATGGTTCATTGGGTATGACAGAACCAAATAAATTTTCTACACAATCAGAGTGGTAAGCCCATACGAACATCCTTGAGTTAATGATCATCTCTCCGACAGATGCAGCTCTGGCAAACTTTCGTTGAAAAAGTAATTGCTGAAACCTTAGTGCAACCCAAAACCTATAATGAAAGATTGAGAGAACACATCACTATTGTGTACAAAAAATCAACCAAATACACATCAGGTCTCACCATCACTGCCATGTGTATTTTTAATAATTCTCATCTGCGCGGGGACTCTATACTATAGTTTTGCTGTTTCATAGCTATTTATCTAATGAATTTGACATGTGAACAATGATTTACTGGTCACTGAATCTTCATTGTCTATAAATTAGATGACTCCATAAGCCTAGGTTATTTTTTATGGTATTGGCAAGATAATTTTTTGGAAGATACTGACAACATATAAAGTAAATTTAAAAATATCCAATTGTCGGTGGTAAAACAAATCTGTGAGAGAGAAAAATCATCAAACAGGAAGGTTTAACAGGAAACCAAAAAACTATTGAATAGGTTCAGCAATACCTTCGTCCAGGTTCATCAAGACTCTGATATGCAGAAGATGAGTCTGGATTACAAACTTCACTGAGCAAATCAATGATTGAGAGAATCTCTGTCCTCTCTATGTTGATCAAATGAGGTAAATCGGGAAAATTCTTTAAAGGTTCAATAAAGCCATTAAGCTCAGATCTAGTTGAGGTGGAACTGCTTTTATTTTCAGCACTGGAATCCGAATGATATGAAAACTGGATTGAGCTATTTTGAGCATGTGAAAATGATGCGAATGAGGTAACATCCTCACTCCAATTAAATCCCTTATCTTGGGAACTTTTTGACATACGGCCTTCTAGATAATCTGACAATATGATACTCGGAAGACCGCTCCTTTTGGTAATCTGTCTCTTTTTAGGATCATAATTAGAAATCAGGTGTTCAACAAAATGCTTGACAGCTATGTAAGCACGTTTCCAGTTGCCTGAAAAACATTTTTTTAAAATGTGACGTGAAAAAGATAATATAATTACCATCACATGCTTGAGTAAATTAGCCAAGTAATCAATCATCCTCGAAGAAAACAATTTACTCAACCATTACCTGAACTTATATTGGTAAGAAGTACATCAGGGTGATAAGTAGGCAACGATCCACTAATCAGCTCAGCTACTTCTAAGATGCTCCACAAACCAACCTTGTTAAGGAGTTCATATTTTAATTGTTCCTTAGCCAGAAACATGCTACTGTATAGGTTATTGTCTCCAATTGAAAGCTCTTCGAAAGCACCGACGTCACAATCAGTAAAAACTGCAGAACTTATGTCTTCATATGCTTCATCCTTGCTGTTATAGGCTCTTGGATCTGAATCACGAGAACGAAAATTACTCTTTTGCTTTTTATCCACACGGAACAACCAATGACTAAATATACTGAAGTAATTTCCGTGAATTACCACTGCAGCAGCTCTGGGCCCCCATAAGAAATCATTTATTGGAAGGGAAGTACGAGCAAATGCAATGTGAGACCATATATTCAACTTTGGGAAATTTACAGAGTTCGACCAAGCCAAACTGTCATAACGCTTCCGAGCATATACTTGCAACTCATTTTGCAAACAAACTCCGAGCAATAACTCACCAGTCCCTAAAGTCAACCACTTGAGAGTAATAACATCACTTTCAAGCGTTAGTGTATCTTCTAAAATAAAAGTCCCTGCAATGATCAGATTTATAGCATCCCATACATGGATGGTACTGACAGCATTGGAATCATTTATGTTACAGAACGTTGCAACTTTCTGACCACAATCAGTGAAACATATACCCTTGACAGGACTGTTATGTGCAATAAACATACCCACAAGCTCCCATGGCAAGTTCAGGGTCGACAGATTGCCACGGTTACTTTTCCAAAGTTTCAAGCTACCATCAGAGCAGCCAGTGGCCAAGATATATGTAGGACTGCTACTACAATGATCATTTGCAAAGCCAAACTCTTGCTGTCTATGACTCAGGGTGCCAGGATCTCCCACTGCAAAACTAGTAACCAGATCATCGGAACTTGGAAACTCGGATGAACATGGAATTACAGCAATGCAATATTTTTTATTAGCAAATGTACTTTCAAATGCCCAAATATGGTTGTCATCAAGGCTTTTAGCATCAAAATTGCATTCACAACCGATTGTTGACGTGTCAAAAGATTGCACGTTAACTTCCCATGATAGGGCCTGAAATCTCCCTGTCCAAATTGCCAATAGCATAAGTTTATTGTTACAAATTGTTTTATTAGAAGTAGAGTTCAAAGGAATTGCAAATATATCGTGCGGGCCATCCTCATAAGGACCATGACCAGTGAAGGGAATAGTGCATAAGTAGTGACATTCTAAGTTATCTTCTTCAGTTCGACTAATATTGACTATGAAGCAATCAACCCCCCTGGTATGTCCCATGAAAAAAACAAGTTGCTCATCAAGTATTGAAGGTGCCCATGTCAAGCTTGTATACATGGAGCATGAGTGTTGAGTTGCAAGTTTTCCACAGAGTTCCCAAGTAGGAACCAACGTTGGACATCCCAGAATGCCGTTTGAAATATTAGAAAGTGACCAGAAAAGAAGCAGTCCATTAGAATCAAGAGAAGCAGCAACTTGAGCTTTGCAAATATAAGGATGAATTGAAACCTTTAATATTTTCCCAGTATGTCCATCTAAGTTTAAAGACCCACCAGTCAAATGAGAGGAGATTTCATCTGTTTTAGCATTGTCAGGGGAGTTCTCAACAGCATCACGTATTTCTTGAATATGGAAAAATGACCAAACTAAGGAATTACAAGGTAAAAGCTGTAGTGGAGAGCATATGCTTGGTGGACCAGACAAAGAGTTTCTTGATATAATGACTTTATGCAGAAGTAATGCGTTTTTAAAATCAGATGAGTCAAACTTAAAAATGTTTCCAATGTCGTGGCTCTGGAGCTCATGTTTCCTCCATAATGTAACTCGGGGGAATCTCAGTGGGGAAACATCATCAAGACAGTGGACAGCCCAAAAGCTAAGCAACATTCCAGGACCATATCCAACTAACCAGTCACATTTTCTGATGTCGTGCTCGATTCCTTCTTTGGAGAAATTTTGTTTGTCTCCTTCACCTCTGGTAAATAACCCCTCGATTTCCGTCCCCCACGTCACAAATATATCTGAACCAAGAATTCCATTTAAACACTGATTAATCTCAATGACAGCAAGAACGCAAAAAGAGCACCCTGTGTTCTTCCCAGCCCTCTTGGCCTTTCCATTATCAATCTCACTCCATAACCTTGCAGTTCCGTCTAAGCAGCAAGTAAGTAACACATTCCTTTTTGAATACTTACTGTATTTGTCTGATAGTCTTCCCCTCGATGGTCTCCATTGAATTGACACAATAGGTAGAGGATGCTGAAGTTTGGCTTTTGAATATTCAGATAGTTCATTGCTCTGACATACGAATACAAATTTGCTTTCCTGACTGATTAAGGACCCTTCAATATGTTCTTTACTAGAATACGGTGCAGTTGCCAAAGGACCTTCAATAGACCAGGTTGCACTTACGAGTGTTTGGGGCAGGTCTGCTTTAAACTTCCACGCGATTTCCCAACATCTATTAATCTTTTTCCAGAAAACTACCTCCATTCCACCAGAAATAATTCCATCTCCTGATCCCGTCCATCTTATGGTCTCCACTTTTGTACTTTGTACAAGCACTGCATTCTGGCTCCAACAAAAAGAACCTGAATATGAGTGACAATATTGTGTTTTTAATATATAAAGCTAATCAAATAAGAGGCTCATTTTTCTATTGCAAAATTTTCTTTTTCAGAAATGACTAAACATATTAGCAACAAGAAAGAAAAAGTGCAAGAACAAGGGATAAGATTAAGATGTCCCCGTGCAAAAATAAAAACAAGAGCAAAGCTCACTTAGTCAGACAGTGAAAACATCCATTTTTTTGAATTTTCTCCAACCCAAGTTCACTTAAATTTCAGAATGGATAGAAACACAACAGTTAGAAAGCAGTGAGTTCAGAAATACTCAAAGTTGTGATCAGCTCCCATATTTCATGAGGAACGGATCCTCTACGGCGTAAATTTTCTATTGTGGAATCTGAACCATTCCTTTATTTACACTTTATCTGATTTGGGAGAATTAAAAGGTGAGGATGTGCCCTGAACACTCCTGTGAAAACTCTTGAGAAACTAGGGTATGTTTGGATTGTGATGAAATGGAATGGAATGGAGTATATATATAATCAGATTCTATTGTTTGGATTTGCAAATGATGGATGGAGCGGAATGAAACATGATGAAATCCATTTCATCCTATTTCTTCAAACCGTTCAATTTTCATTCCCCCAATTTAGGGTGTATGCAATGGAATGAACTACTTTGTTCTGTTCCATTCAATCAAATTATAAAAAATACACAAACATTCTGCTCCGCTCCACTTCATTCCATCATGTTCCATTCTGCTCCGTTCTAGTTAATCAATCTAATCATAGCCTATATGTACCCACTACACACAGCTCTTGGCTACCTACTACCTAGTAAGTAGTAACTACATAGGAAGGATCAAGAGAAGACTTACAACTTATTTCACATCAAATGATCATAACTATCACTACAAAAGCTTGTAAAACTATATTAATTAATAAATAAAAAGGTGATTTTTTTCTCTAATCCAGCATAAATTACTCAAACCCAGCATCATGGTAGCAAAATAACAAAAAATAAAAAGTTTGAGTTACCTTTGGACGCAACAGAGTGATGATGAAAAACCCAGATGCAATTTAGAGCGGCAGCAGCAAGTTCACCGGAGGAAGGCAATTGAGGTGACCAAGAGACAGCAGAAACAGGGGAGGAGTGATCGGAAGAGAGTTCAAAGAATAGGCGAAAAAGGGGACCGATGCGGGTCTGATGAGTGGAAAGAGGAGAAGGGAAATGGGTGATAGTGAGAATAGAAGAAGCTCCATAAGCGATCCATGAATAGCCTGCAAAGTGGTGGAGGAAATCGATGGTGGAGTGAGAGAAAGTGGGGGCGGGTGGGACTATTTCGGATCTGAGGAGACGGAGGGGGAGGTGGTGATCGATGATGGTTTTCGTGTTTTGAGAAGATGATGAGGTTGTTCTTTCGGTTCTCATCGTGGCTCAGCAAGATCAAGCATAGCGTTAACTCACTCTTGTTGAGTGCAAATTTTTCTCTATATATTTCTCTACTTAACTAGATTCATCAATACATTAAATAAATAGGGGAGGTTAATTATGTCTAATTTGATAGGAAAATTAGTTATTTTTACATGCCCTCTAAATTCTATGATTTAATATCTAATTTAAATGGATTTTTTCTATTTTCTTCTATATATATTATTTGGTTTCAATATATCGGTACCAGAGTTATTTTGATTCAAGAAGATTATGTTGAAAATTTTGGTAATTGAGAGATACAGATGTTCCAAGTTATGTGATTTAAGATGTTAGTATTATTCTGTAGCATTTATATTATAGAGCTATTATTATAATAAATAAATTTCTTTTTTTTAAAGTATTTCATGAAAACACAAAAACAAATATAATGAAAAAGTAAACTAGTAATCTAAAACAGAAAAATATGCCATTTATTAATATAAAAAACATATTTATTTGTAACTAATTAAAATTTATAAAATTAAAAATAAATATTGTATAAATATCTAAAACAAATTAGTCTTTAAACTCTATAAAAGATAATATAATATTATTAATCAAATTATGTATTATATAATATTATTTTAATAATGTTAAAATTTTATTTTAAAATATGAAAAAATTACTTATATTAATATACGTAAAACAAAAATAAAAATATTTATCAATTAGTTAATACAATCTTTTCGAATATTTATATACCAACAAAAATACATTAGTTGATTCAATTATTTTTATATAAAAAACCACTTTACTATACATTTAAACATTTTTATAAATTATTTTAAAATAAAAATAATATTTATATACAAAAAATATATATTATTAATTAAAATATATTTTTATATGACAAAGAATTATATGTACTGATATATTGTTAATTCAAATAATGTTATATATAGAAAAAATTATTGACATCAATTTATTATATCTTTTAATAATAATAAATCTTTTTAATTGAATAATTTAATTTTTTTCATTTTATTTTAATTATATTTTAGGAACAAATATACATTACTTATTCGAATACATAAATACTAATATAATATCCTGAATTATGATGAATTTTTTATATTTTTTTATGACTTAAATAGTACTCAAGTCTTTGTAAATTTTGATCCCAACAAAAGTTAAACACAGGACTATATGTTAACCAAGACAAAGCATATCCACTAGGCCAACAAATTCATCTATTTTTAACTTTGCAGCAAATATATATATATTAGATATGGAGTAGCATAGTCTGCAATATTATTTCATGGAGTAGTATTTATATAGTCTGCAATATTATTTCATATTCATTCCTTCATTTTTAAATTTTTTATTAGTATTAAAAAATAATATTTAATATTATTAAATAGTATGACATAATTATTAAATAATATAATATAATATGAAATATTTAATAGTAAATATTAATGAATTATTAATTTTTTTAATATTATATTTCATTTTAATAATTATATTTCATAAACATATTATTTAAATACTTGAAATGTATATTATTCAAAGTGAAATTGGATATTTCAACTATTAATATTTAAAATATTAATCGTTAAAAAATTCAATAGTTTATATATTAAATAGTTAAAATATTTAAATATTAATTATTTTATAAATTAAATAATTAAAATATTAATAATTAAAATATTAAAATAATTGATTATTTAATAAACTAAATAATTAAAACAAAGTAAATTATTTAATTTATTAAATATTTCAACTATAATTAAATATATTACATAAATATATTTCAGTTACACATTAATTATACTATTCAGTTATATGAAAAATTAAACTACTTAATAAATTATGTAATAAATAATTGAAATATTTATTAAAATAATTATTTAAAGAACTAGATAATTATAATTTTAATAGTTAAAATAATAAATAGTTAAAATAGTAATAGTTAATAAAAAATAATTAATAAATAAATAAAACTTGCAAGAATTAAAACTTTCATTAAATATTTATCTATTAATTTATCTATAAATATTTATCGTCGACACTAATAACGGCACCGCGGACAAGAATGGACACCTCGACAACCCCGGTGATCCCGGCCACAGTACCATTCCTGTGACAACCGCCCCTGGAACTTCCTCCTACAGGGACGGGGCTACTGCATCATCCTCTTCGACCCCTCCGGCACTCGAAGACGACCCGGTAGCTCTCGCTCATTACAGAGCTGTCCGGTTCCATGAAGTCCCAGTTCCTGCCGGGGCAGATGCCACGACTCAGGCACTGTTCGCGGCCATTAATCAGACAAATTATCTCATCTTCGCCCAAGGAGAAAGATTAAGGGCACTTGAAGATGATCGACGACCCCCGAGGAGGCATCGGAGGCCACATTCTCCACCTCCTCGGGTCACAGAAGTTCGACACCCTTCTCCCCCGCGGAGACACTACAGGGAGAACTCCAGGAGCCCCTCTCCCCGGCCAAAGCAGAGGCGGCCCTACTATGAGAGACAGCCCGCCATCCCTGCCGGAGAACCCAGTCGCGACCTATCAAGGCACGACAAGAGGCACGCCGGGGACAGGTGTGTGACCTTCAACCACCGAGCATCACGCTCGAGGGAAACTCAGCACGATCACCGTGCCAGACATAACTACAGGTCCCCTTCTCTTTCTCCGGAGAGGAGCGACGAGGACGACCTCCGCGGTCCCCTGTCGCAGGCCATCATGGATGCACCCATCCCCCCGGGCATGGAGAAGCCCCCGCATCTGAAGGAGTGTGACGGAGTAGCGGACCCGGTCGACCACATTGACGGGTTCGAAGCCATGCTCCACTATCATAATGTCGGGGGGCCCATCAAGTGTCGTCTTTTCCCCACGACTCTCAGGAAGGCGGCCATGGACTGGTATAAAGGACTCGCCCCGGGCTCAATCACGTCGTGGCGGAACCTGAAGAACCAGTTCATCGGTTCTTTCACAGCTTCTCGGCGCCATCCGAAGACCGAGGCGGCCCTCGAGGCCATCATCCAAAGACAGGATGAAACCTTGAGGGAATTCATCAACCGCTTCAACCAAGAAGCAATACAGGTCCCCTGCGCGGACCATATGAAAAGATACTTGCTGGAGAGGGGTCTCCTCCCCGGCACAGAATTCAGAAAGGCTGTGGGTATTGAGCCACCTCCGACTTTTGATGCCCTCCTCGACAAGGCCCGAGCATACATGGACTACGAGGAGAGGGAAGCTGCCAACAGGGCCCGAGACTCCAGGGCTCGCGGTCCCAACAACAGCAGCTCACGACAAGAGGCTCCCCCCGATGTACCAGGGAGAAAAGGAAAGAAAATCGACCCCGGGAAGCCCGGGAACAAAGGGGCCCCTCGGGCCGTTTCACCGAGTACACTCCGCTCACAGCTTCCCGCGAGCGTATTTTGGCGGAGTGTGCCAGTACAGATTTCAGAGACGGTGGCGTCAAGCGTCCCCGACCTACTCCCGCCAAGCCAAGGGCAGATAAAAATAAATACTGTCAATACCATAGGAGTCATGGTCATTTGACAGAGGACTGCGTCCACCTCAAGGACGCCATTGAAACCCTCATCAAGGGAGGGAGGCTCGCGCAGTACAGGCGAAGCGACGCTCGCCGTCGTGACGCCCATGAAACCAAGGAGCCCGAAGAAGACGCCCGACCATCAGACGAGTCGGTGCCTATCCAGACCGCCTTCTCGGTAACCAGGCCCGAGGACTTCGACATTCCCGAGCTCCTGCAGGAGCCCCTGACAACACACAGCAGGTGGGAATACTTTCCCTCCGCCATGGTCATCAAAGGGGGCGGGTTCAACGACCTCACCATCAATTCAGCTAAGAGGAAGTTGGACGAGCTGGTCGACATAGCTCCTCCGCAAACTGTAACGTTCGAAAGGGTGAAGGGCAGGTCAGAGCCCATCACCTTCTACCTGGAAGAACTCCCCGGCGGAGCCCCGAACGCGGTCATCCCCTTACTGATAAGGGCAAAAATGGCCAATTTTGACGTGCATCACATCCTGGTCGACGAAGGGAGTTCCGTCGACGTGATGTACAGCCAACTATTCCGGACCTTACAACTGGACGACTCACATCTCTCTCCGTATGTGGGTTCGGATCTACAAGGCTTCAACGGCTCGACTTCCAAACCTTGGGGTTATGTCGAGCTCCTGGTTACGTTCGGCGAAGGAACGGCTACGAGACAGGTTAAGGTCCGCTTCCTCGTCATTGACTGCCCGTCTCTATACAATTGCATCTTGGGGAGACCGACTCTGGCGGAGCTGACGCCGGTGCCCTCGACCGTCCATCTGAAGATGAAGTTCTATACCAAAAGGGCACGGGTAGCCACCATCCAAGGAGACCTAGCCGCTGCCCGTAGGTGCTTCAATGCTGCTTCTAAGGGACGAGATACCGTCGACGTAGGGACCAGACCCGCCAAAAGGACAAAACAGGAGCCCGACAGGAAAGCATCCCCCGAGGAAGAAGTCCAGAAGGCCCCACCAAAGGTCGATTCCATAGCCCTCGACGCTCGCTTCGATCAGGACGAGCCATCCAACAGCGAGCAAATCCCACTCCGACCTATTCCGGACGGGGATTTTGAACTCGTTCCCCTCGGCACAGACCCGACCAAGGGAGTGAAGATTGGAAAAGACCTCCCCGACTTGGCCAGGAAGCAAATCAAGGCCTGTCTGCGCGAGAATGCTGATCTCTTCGCCTGGAGCGCTGCAGAGATGCCCGGACTCGACCCTGAGGTCGCCTGTCACCACCTCGCCATTGATCCAGCCGCCAAGGCCGTAGTACAACGTAGGCGTAGGCAGTCTCCAGAAAAAACGGAGGCTGCTGAAAAAGCTGTAAAAGACCTCCTAGAGGCAAATTTTATTTCTGAAGCCCGGTATTCCACCTGACTGTCAAATGTTGTACTTGTGAAAAAGAATAATGGAAAATGGAGAATGTGTGTTGACTATACCGATCTCAACCGGGCTTGC